CGCTCTTCCTTTCAAGTTCTGCTGCTTGAGCCCACTCCTTATTCCTTCAGTCTATCTCGTGAAACCAGATCTGCCTAAAGCGGCGATGATACCTTGATGCCCACATAAATCCTTCAGATTGGTGCCGTTTGCATCCCTCCATATACTGTCGCTTGATTCCTGCGGCGGCCTGCGACGAGTTTGCATGAAATTCTACGATGTTCATCATTATTTTTTCTAAGCCATTAGTCTCCCTTCCATGTATGAGAACAACCCCTCAATGGTTGAGAAATGCTCATCCATTTCATTCTAATTTGGCTCACCTCTCTCTCTAATTTCTCCTTCAGGACATTTCTACTTTCTTAGTTGCAATTACTCTCATGAAGGTTTTCGATCATGGAACTTTTGTACACCGCTATTCTGTCGTTGGCTTACCAACTAGCTTGAGCTGCGACTGTATCACGAGGCTCAGTTACAAAGGCGACTCGTATAGCAGATCGAGAGACAATTAGTGTATTTACCCACCCAGTATGCAGTGTGTCGTTGTTATCCTATCAAATATCACAGATTGTGACTGTTTTATGAAGCTCAGTAACGAAAGTAGCGTTTGTATGTTACGATCCCTTCGGTTTCCTAGCTCCCTCGAGTCATAACTGTTTCATAAGTTTAGGTCACGAAGGATTTGCTTGTACGCCATGATCCCGTTGGCTTCACAGCTAGCACGAATAACAAAAATTCTATGGAAATGCTGCGATCTTCCAGCTAGCGTTTCTCAGCGATGTCTTGCCTATTTGAACTGCGGTTGTATCGTACTATAATTTTTTCCCTAAAATCAAAGGCTCTGATACCATTTTGATACAAATCAGACAAATCTCTATAGAAATTAGAGAAAATTTTTTTTCTTCAATAACACAAAACAACTAAATTCAGACACATAAAGATAAGCACCTACAATTTGAGAGGTAGGCTATCTCTCCAAACCCTAACAATGACTCAAGGCAACAATCTCATAGCATAACGTAACCCTAAACATATTAGTCCTATTTATACCAAACAATAATAACTAATAAAAGATATATATTTATATTTAAGTATAATCATGATTTTATAATGTCTGTAGTTACAAGTAGTTCAAATGATGTGCAAAGATTCAAATAACTTGAAACCGCAAATATTTTGGCGATTTGAGTTGCTGATGATTTAATAAGAGATCATTTTGAATTTAAACTTGGAAGAACTGAGAATTTTTGGTCTGGTTGGAATTAATTGATCTGTTATGATAGCTTATAAATGGGATTTGTGAGGGTGTTGTAGAATGGAACGAGAATAATTTTATGGGAGGAATGATGAAAAGGGAAAATGGCTCATGGGCTGGGGACAAGGGGTGTACTTTAGGCATTTGTGGAAATTTTTAAGAAGCTTGTATTGTTTTGCATAAGTTATAGCAATGTGAAAGGGAAGAAGGCCTAAAGAAAAATTCAGAGATATGACGCAGGATGAAATCTTAAAGACGCTATGATGTTTCATACTTTAATAAGGACCTTGCTTCTCGGAAACACTTTATCCCTTACATTTGATCAAAGATTTTACAATAATGGTAAACAAAAATTTTCATTCATATATCATTACTAAGCACCATGAAAAGTTTCATCATAATACTATGTTATAAATTAGGGTCCTAGAAATAATATGCATGAAAATGAATATGATTATGAGTTCCCGTTTTTCTTATTGAATGAACTATAAAGAGTACAGATCAATATCATGGTTTTGATGCTGTAGTCAAGAATATAAATGTAACTGTTATGTTACTCCAAAACTACCTGCTTGATGCAATTAGTTTCTGGGCTAGTAGTATGTGTATTCTCAGGCGAAACAGTAATAATTCATAAATGTAATCACCCAATATGCTTCATCCTGCATCTTCAAGCTCATGGCACATTATATTATGGCTTAATTTGTTGGAAGCAACAGAGTTCGCAACTCGCCGTTTAGTTGGTATTTTAGCATCCTCTTTTTGCCTACTAAAATGGCTCTAATATTTTCAATTTGGGAAATTTACAAACATATCACACAATTCTTATGCGTTTACATATCTAGCACTTAATGTTTGATATCTAGATTTATAACTTTGCATAAAAAAACTATGCATGAAAGATCTATTTCACTTTTAAATAGTTAATGATAGTGGTATTTTTGATGTGATGTCAAAGATCTGAGTGTTTAGTATGTAAATACTAAATTATTTGTGTTAGACATGTAAATATGTAAGAATTGTGTCGTACATATGTGAATCCCCCTTTTAATTTTTATCATAAGTTTGCCATTAGAAGTGCAGCCTGAGAGTTGTTTTTTATTATGGGCATTTACATACATAGGACACAATTCTTATGTATTTACATATCTCAAACCCAAACATTCATATTTACCCACATAGCACTCAAATCTTTAATTTCACATTGAAAATAGAACTATTATCACTTTTTAAAAGTGAAATACACTTTTTCATGCATAAGTTTAAAGCAACAAAATGCTATCTATGTAATTATGAAATTTTAGACGTGAGATATGTAAATTCATAAGATTTGTGTCCATTTATCTTTTTTTAACTAGTTAGTGTTTTGTCTTTAAATGGCTCATTGAACTTTGCTGTAATTTAGAATTTTACAAATATACCCATAGCCTTGAACATTAATTGTTCTCGTAGGTATATTATACCTGTCCCCATTATCAGGCATTTCTTATCTGGAGTGGAAGAGAATGGCAGATATGTTGGATTTTGCTCTCTTGGTTTATCATGCCAGCCTACTGAAAATGTTCAGCTAAGAGAGCACTTCCACATGCATCCTGAAATGACCGGTGTGCTTGTTAGCAAAATCAATCCACTTTCCGACGCTTTCAATGTATTGGAAAAAGATGATATTATTATCGCATTTGATGGCGTGCCGATAGCAAATGACGGAACTGGTGAATCAACATCTTATTTTACATATGTACCACTCAATTCCTATGTATTTACATATCTAACATGTAAACTTTAATTTTTATGTACATGCCATCTTACTTATGTTTGAGAATGTGTATTTCATTTTTTAAAAGTTAAAATGGTGGTGTTTTTTTTGTGTTATGAAAGATTTAGGTTGTGTAATTTTAAAATGTAAAATTTAGTTGTTAGATACATAAATATATAAGAATTGGGTGACATGCGTGTAAATGCCCCATCTAACATAATCAGGCCCTATTCTCTTGGATGCTTATTTTGCAAATAAATTTGGATAATGTTAGATGGAAATGTAAATGCTTCACAGTTTTAGCTAATTTGATCATTTTTGTTACACAGTGGCATTTCGAAATAGGGAGAGGATAACCTTCGATCATCTCGTCTCCATGAAGAAACCTGATGAGAAAGCTTTTCTTAGAGTGCTTAGAGATGGCGTAGTGCATGAACTCAGCATTTCACTCAGACCTGTAAGTGAAGCTTCTTTCTTTCGTGGTGATTATCGAGGTTATGGGGCCTGTGCCATTTATATTGACGGAGGAAATGCATATTTATGAGGAAGACTTACTTACATGCCACTCAATTCCTATGTTTTTACATATCATATAGCTAAACTTTAATATTTACATATTTACATATATATATATATATGTATATGTATATATATATATATAATGGTGTATTTCATTCTTTAAAAGTAAAGTGGTATTTTTGATGTGAGATGAAAGATTTGGGTGGTAGAAATGTAAAAATGCAAAGTTTAGGCGTTAGATATGTAAATACATGGAACTTGGGTGCTATGTATGTAAATCTTCCTATTTATTATTGATAAAGCTTCTTCTTTTGTATGTAGACTTTAACTACTAAAAAGTTACAGTGTCAAGCAGATTGAAGCAAATGAATGATAAATAATGTCTCGTATGGTTTAGCCTAGCTTTGCTGCGGTACTTTTTTTTTCATATTCTTTATTTTGTCTGGTTGATTAATTATCTTACTCTTTCACTTATTAATGGTCCGCAGGTGGGAAGCATTTTCACAGTTTTATTGACTTGAAGTCTTGTTTCAAAAAAAAAAAAAAAAGAAAAAAAAAAGAACGTCTTTTCTTTGGCCTCTAAATACTAAAGAGTTACAGTGCGAGTACATAGAGTCAAGTTAATAGTAAATAGGGGCATTTACATGCTTACCACCCATTTCCCCTGTATTTACATATCAAACACCTAAATTTTTCTTTTACATTTATACCAACCAAGCCTTTCATATCACATCAAAATACCACTACTTTAACTTTTGAATACCGAAATACACCTTTTCATGCACAGTAAAAGTGGTATGTCTGTAAAAATTAAAGTTTTAGGTGTTTGATAGGTAAATGCATAGGATTTGAGTGGTTTGTATGTCAATCTACCCAGTAAATAATGCCTTATACGGTTTAGTTTTTCTACAATGCTTTGATGAATTTTGTTTATTTTGCTTGTATAATTACATATTGTACCCGTTTTAGTGAAGCACTATATATTCACTAAAAGTATTTTTTTCATTCAGTAGTAAAAAAAAATTTTGTAAAGTTATAGTGCAAACTGGATTGAATGTGATACCGGTGTTAACCTAAACCACAAAGGAAAAGCAAATATTAATATCAAAAATAAATAGACGGTTACAACCAACACACTTGAAAGGAAAAATACAACAAAACAAGACGCAAACTCATACTGGGCTCTATTTTGGAGTGGCGGAGGTCGGCTAGGTGGTCGGAAAGGTGGTGGCAAGATAAGGAAAGCGCGGGACTGTGGTGAAATAGTAGCAATGCAGCGAAAGGGGATGGAAGTATCGGTTGGGAGACTGGGACTGCAATGAGAGCAAGCGGGGTGGCATGCGGAGCTGCGAGGTGTGAAGGGAAAGGCTGAACAGCCACGGGACAGCTGGAAAACAGCCGGTTTATTGTTTTCCAGATGACGGAAGCTAGGAGAAAGGGGCTGCGGCCACGAGGCAACAGGCTGGATTGATGGAAGCAGGCGGTGTGAGGCTGGGCTGCTAGATTAAGAGCAAAGGTTGCTGTTTTGGGCGGTTGTAGTAGTGGAGAAAGATGGTGCCAGCCGGGGACTGCAGGACAGCAAGAGGCGGCTGTCCAGGGAAGTAGCGGTGAGCATGAAGGGCTGAAATTGGAAGATTGCAGTGAAAAACTGCAAATGAGAGCTGTTCTTCGGTGTGGCAGTGATGTAGGATGGTCCGACAACAGTAAAACAACAAGGCGTGGGGGATTCTGGGTGGTGGCAACAAAAGGTAGAGGGCTGGAACAGCGATGACATCAAAGTGGAAGGCCGGGAATCGGAATGACAGCGGAAGCAAAGGGAGAAGTATGGGGGATGTAAAAGTTAGAGGTAAATACTCCCGCGTAAACGAGTTACAGCCGGAGCACCACTCGATCTCTCGTAAGGAGATCATCACCTCAGCTGAGACTACTCTTGAATACAACTCTGGAAGGGAGAAAGAGGACGCAGATGGCTGTTCCGACAGAAAACGTATGCCAAAACTGAAAACCTAAAGACAAAAGCAAATATATAAGTCTAGGGTAAAGAGGAGCGGGCGTCCTCTCACAAGGAGGCGGTAAATCCATGTACGAAGGTCGGCCGACCCTTAGTTTACTGTTTTGAATTGATCCCATGTGCCAGAAGAGTGCCGCGTCCCGATTCAGTGAGGGAGCCGGTCTTGAGAATGTAGCAAGGGTTGTGGGAGTGTTTTCTGGATTGCGGAAACGTCCCATGAGGGAAGCTCCCACGTCAGAATGCCTCATAGGTTTAGTTTTGAACCTACATTTTATTGAACTTTTATTAAGAAAAGTGTCAAATTAATCCTCTAATTCTTGGTTGGGGGTTAGTTTAGTCCGAAAGTCTATAGAAGTGCCAATTTAGTGCCTGTACTATTTTAGTAAGGGCTAAAATAGTCCACTCATAGGATTATTTTGGCTCATATTGAAGGTGTCTAGGGACTAATTTCACATTTTTGTAGACTAGAGGGCTAAAATTAGCCGGGGATCATTTTACCACTTTATTCGATTTTTATTTTACTCTGATGATTACATGTCTTACTCATTCTAGTTAAACCCTTTATCTATTATACGTTTGGAGAGAGGACAATTTTGGCTCATATTGAAGAAGTCTACGGACTAATTTTGCATTTTTGTAGACTTGGGGGCTAAAATGGCCCCATGTAAATAGCCCGTGGTCATTTTACCACTCCATTCAATTTTTTTTTTTATTTTTTATTTTACTCTGATGATTACATATCTTACTCATTCTAGTTAAACATCATATATGTTATACCTTTGGAAAATTTTGTGGAACTTTGATTGAAATATCATGATATATAAACTATAATGCTATGTAATATGCAGCTGCAGCCTTTGGTTCCTGTTCAACAGTTTGATAAACTGCCAAGTTACTATATTTTTGCTGGTCTGGTTTTTATACCATTGACGCAGCCTTACCTTCATGAGTACGGAGATGACTGGTACAATGCTTCGCCGCGCCGTCTCTGTGAACGTTCATTACGAGAATTGCCGAAAATGTCTGGCGAACAATTAGTTATTCTTTCTCAGGTAACGAACAAAATTGTGCTTATATGAAGTGTTTTTAGAGCTAAAAGAATAGCATGCTTTTGAAAAGATCAGTTGCTTTTTCTTCTTGCCAAATTTTACTGTCAGAGTTTATGATAAACATTGATTTTTATGCGATTTATTTGGAGATAATTGTAAAATAGCCCCCTAACTCTTTGTAAGGGGTCATTTTAATCTCAGAGTTTATAAAAGTGACATTTTAGTCACCAAACTTTTAATGTGGGCTGAAATAGTTCCCATGATGGACTATTTCAGTCTCAAGTTAAAAAGTCACTGTACTAAATTGACATTTTTATAGGCACTGATACAAAAATGGTCCTATATAACTGTCAAGAAACTGTTTTGACACTTGATTTTTTTTATTTGTATCCTTAATAGATTTATATAAGCTATCACGGTTGTGATTTTGGCTTAAAGGTCGTGACACACACAGACGCATACATATGCTTATATACATATGTACACGCATGTAAATACAATTTTCATTAGAATTGAACTCAGATTAAAGTTAGCAAGCCATGCTTAGATTAAATGGAGATCAGATCAAGCCAAATGGTAACCCGAGTAGGATCTTTTCTTGATTAAATCACGTGAATTTGAGTTAATCTTCATATAGAATTCGATCAACTGTAGATTAAATCATTGACAGCCATAAAGATCTATGGTGCATTCACTTAAATCCAAGTTAATACAGGACGTGCATGTGCATTTTTTGTTGTTATTCTTTCTATTGCCTCTAAAAAAAGCAATGATTTTGGTAATTCAGGTATTAATGGATGATATTAATACTGGATATGAGAGACTCTCAGAACTACAGGTATCCCATTATTAAACTTTGGCGCATTTACATACATACCACACAATTCTTATATATTTACATATCCAACTTCTAAACTTTCATATTTACAGGCATGACATTCAAATCTTTAATAATACCTCAAGAATAGAACTAGTACTAACATTTTGATAGTGAAATGCACCTTTTCATGCTTATGTTTATGATACTAAATTGTCATAACTGTATATAAAATATGTAAATTCACTGGAATTGTGTAGTATGCTTGGAAAAATCTCTTTAAACCTTTTCATTTTATACCTCCTGAAACTAATCAGTCTTCTGTTCCAGGTAAAGAAGGTCAACGGAACAGAGGTTGATAATCTGAAGCATTTGTGCAGCCTTGTGGAAGGTTGCCATGAAGAAAATTTAAGATTTGATTTAGATGATGAAAGAGTGATTGTTCTGAATTACAGAAATGCCAAATTGGCAACTTCCAGAATTCTTAAAAGACATAGAATACCCTCAGCAATGTCTGGTGATCTGATTGATGAGATTATCTGTTCTAAAGCTGAAGTTGTTTGTTCTAGTTGATCTGATTGGATGGTTCAGCTGGGAAATTAATTCAATTTTTTTGGTGTTTCTGTTTCAAATTGTTGGGGTAAAACTGCTGATCTTGATTTCCAGGTATGTTGAATTGGCTCCTGAATTTACTGTTTTGTAGATGAACATTGAAATTTTGTTTTAAGAAGCATTTAAATACATAGCTCGCAATTCTAATGTATTTTCATGTCTCACCTAAACTTTCATATTTGTACTTATAGTTCTCAAATATTTAATATCACATAAAAAAAATAGCACAATTATCATTTTTTTAAATGGGAATTTAATCTCGTCAGACAAAAGTTTAAAGCATCAAAGTGCTATGTATGTGAATATAAAAGTTTAGGTGTGAGATATGTAAAAACATAAGAATTTTATGCTAGGCGTGTAAAATTCCCGTATTTTTATTGTAGGTATATATGAAATCGTTTTTAAAGGAGTTTTTGACATCACGTGTCTATTAAGATTGGAATAAGTTGGTTTATAATATGGAAGATTTACGTAAATACCACCTAATTCTTATGTATTTACATATCTAACATATTTTACATACATACAACCTTACATATTCATGAAAATGTGTATTTCACTTTTAAAATGTTAAATGTTAACTTGATGGTATTGCTTTATGTGATGCAAAAGATTTGGGTGGTATAACTGTAATAAGTATATGTAAATACATAAGAATTGTGTGGCATGTATGTAGATGCTCCTTATAATATTTTGATTAATTTTTTTGGTTGGTGTATATTTTAAAATTTTTGAATTTATTTTGTGGTGAGTATAATATAAATTTTAATTGATTTTTATATTTGCGTTCTTTTCAAAGCTGATCTAAGAACTATGGAACTCATTTAGCCTAATTTTTTTGTTGAAATATCCCGATGTAATTTTTCTCCCAGTTGTTTACAAACACACCACTCAATTCTTTTGTATTTACAAATCGTATGTCTAAAATTTCATATTTATATTAACACTAAGATTTTTTATATTAGATAGAAATATCATTATCACTAAATCATTTTTTAAACTTTAATAAATTGTAATGAACTTTTTTCATGCATGGATTAAGGGGCATATGTGTAAAAATTGAAGTTAAGTTTATGTGTTAGAAATGTAAATGCATGAGAATTGAATTTAATGTATGTAAATCTTTATTAAATTTCTAACATTTTATTTTTTAATTTTATTCATTATATAATTACAACATGTAAATACTTGAGAATTGAATGGATTGCATGTGAATCTTTCTTAAAATTTCTAACATTTTATTTTTGTTTTCTTCGTCATAAATTCGGATAAAGTGTTGTGATCCTTTTTGTGCGATTCCAGCGTGTTATAGAAGGTGTTTTGCTTGCTTATTTATGGACTGCGGCAGAAAGTAAAAAAAGAAAAAAAGAATAATGTTAAATAAAATTAATATTTTAAGCTTTTTTTTTATTTTTTATTTATTTGGAAAACATAAAAAATAAAAAATAAGCCATAACAGCTATATGTTTTGGTTTTTTTTTTTTATTTAGAAAACATAAAGAATTAAAGCTTAATGGTTGAGTGTTCATTCCTAAAATACTTATTATATTGTTTTTCTTGTCTGCCCTTAAAATAAGAAGATTTGCTTAAATATCACTCAATTCCAATTTATTTACTTAGAGTTGGAAATAGAAATTATTAAGACAATTTGGCTCCTTTTATTAATTTATATTGCGCATTTAAATGCATGGAACATGGTTCTTTTGTATTTACATATACACAACTTGAACTTTGATATTTACTAGCATACACTCAATTTTTTAACATTACATTAAAAATATTATTATTATAGATTTTTTCCAAGTAAAATACATCTTTTCATAAATACGTTATGACACAACTATTATAAATGTAAATATCAAATTTTAGGTGCTAGAAATGTATGAACATAAGAATTATGTTGCATGTAAATTTTCAAAAAATATTTCAATCTTTTGGGATGGAGAAATGCAGTTAATAGGATGAAAATTCAAAATTATAATGTACTAATTTTTATTTATTTGAGTTATATATTTTTTAGATAAGCATACTTATTATGATAATGATACAAAATCATTTCCCTCTGATCATCACGAAAAAAAGGGTTAGAACATCTTGATGTATGATTGATTATTTGACATTAATTATATACCATAAACAAAAATAATTACTATTGATTCCTGACCTGTCCGTGAATACATCCAAAGAATAGAGCGTAAAACATGAGAGAGAAAGAGAGAGATGCATAGTGAAGAACGATAATTTGATTCGTTCATTAGCCTTTTCTGAAAGATAATCCCCCTATTTATAGTGAAGGAGGGCGCTACAAAGTGTTTTAGGTATTTTACATATATAGCCCTTGGTTTAACCACCCTTTGACTCAGTCGATTGAAATTAGTTGGTATTGGTTCAACAAGACCCGCTCCTTCGCCTTTGAAGAATTGAGCTTGTAGGTAGACACTTGATGGTCTTCAGGTCGACGAGACCTGACTCGATCAGTTTAATTTTATGGATCGGTTGTGCTAGTTTTGTTGCCAACTATTGATCCCTGGATAAGGAACCCTTATCATTAGAGCAAAGCTAGGCTATCAGGCAAAGAGTGAATCACCGTAATCTAATTGGTAGCTTGCTCCTTGATGAGGCGATCCTTTGAGGATGCTCCGTATGATTATGTGATGGCTAGTTCTTGGCCGTAGATGAGGAATCTCTTGGGTTTTCTTTGAGATGGCTGGGGATGCTACATTATTCTCTTGAGTCAAGTCATGATGAGATGCGTATCAAAGCCTCTGCTCAGCTCGATAAGCTTTAATCTTCAGATCGGACAACCTTCGCTCGATCAACCTTCAACCCCAACTTAAAAGTTTTGCACCTAGTCAGGCAGGTCTTTCGGTATTGTCCTAGTTAGCGCTTAGCCTTCTGATGTTGGACCCTTAGTCTTCCGCTAATGGACCTTTGTTCTTCTGCTTGTGGGCTCTTTGTTTTTCGCCTTTGAGCCATTGACCTTTTTCTGGTGGGCCCTTCTTAGTTGTATTCCCTTATACCTTTTGTCTGTTGGATTTTCTCAAGATTTATGCAGACGTGTATCTAATGTACATATTTTAATTCCTTGATTTTTTAACTTCTTGAAAGTGTCAACTACTATTAGAATAAGAGAATTAAATGCAAAAGTAGATTAATTTATTTGACAATTAGAGCTTTTAATAATTATACTCCTTGGATTTCTGTGCACCTAACCCTCATAAAATGGGTGTGTCCGACGCCTTTGATATTACTCTTAATTTTGGTTTTTCTTATTTTAGCCATCTGATTCTTAGAATTCCTTCATGGCGAGCGCTCAGAAGCATTTGGATGATGCTCTAAGTGCTAAAATGACGAGAAGAGCCTTTGGATTGCATGCATCACAGTCTCGTCCTAAGGTAAAAAAGAAGCTAGATGGTGAAAAGAAGCCCCAGGGGAAGAAAATGCCCGAAGGAAAGAAGGGGCTCGAACTTGAAAGGAGACCAAAGGGTGAGGTTCAAAAGAAGAAGCTAGCTTCGATGAAGAGGAAGGTGGTTGAACCAGTAGACAAAGTGGGGTCATCAAACTCACTTCAAGGTCTCAAGAGAGAAGAGGATTGCGTAGAGGACATGAGTAGCATGAGCAATCTGGCTGCAGACACATCAACCTAGACTCCTTTGGGGAAGCAATTGTAGCCCCTTTATCTGGGGGCCAAAAAGCTACTAGTGCAATATTGCCGGTCGAGTGAACTAGGACTGTGATAGCTGCACCGTCCCCTGGTGAGAGCAGTTTGTTGCTTCAATGGACTAAAATAGATTGACTCCTTGAAATGGGAGCTTTGATCTTCATGGTTAAAAAAAATTCAGTATGTTTTCAGACATTTGTTTTTAGATGTAGAAGAGGCGGTTAAAATCATTGACTAATCGCTGGGGGGACGATGGCCAGGGCCAGACTCCAAGATTGGTTTAGAAAACTCCAACACAAGCCTAGATCCAAGAGAATGTAGTCAACCACAAAGATAACCACCTATCACCCATGGAGAGGCAACTGAAAAACAGAGGATGTCCCCTCGGTCGCTGGACCCTCGACTGAATTATATGAAAGACCCTTATGCCAGCATTGCTGGAATGCAAGGGATGAGGATATAAAGGAGCAACAGAAGGAGTTGACGATGCTTTGGTTGGAGCTTGTGTGTGTCATGGAGACATGCTCGATGCTCTAGGCTTATATCAAGTGCAACCAAGTAGACATGAGTTTGGTGGTGAAGTGTTGTACAAGAGGTTGTTTTGAGGATGGCTTGTCTCGCCCAATGTGACCAATAAGTCTCTTGTAAAATATTTTTTGGAATAAAACTTATGTGTTTTATTATTTTTTGAAATGAAATTTATTTTTATTGTCAATTATTTTCTCTTGAAAACTGTGTGATCTGATGTGCTTTTTTGAAATTGAGGTATGATAGTTCCATTTCCTAGGGTCCCCATATATAAGGGTGAGGGTTTGGAGTTTTGTTCTATGCTCTTTGATCCTTCTCTTGCCTCTTCTATTTTTTATCTCATTAAAATGGCACCAAAGTACCAACCTCATGCCTTGGAGCAATTATAGTGCATGAGAGCTTAGTTATGTCATCATATGATGTGCTTTCATCCAAGACACCTACTTCTTTGAGAATTCAGTTTAGCTTCAGGCCTTCAAGAGTTACGACTGAGTGACTAACCTGTTTGAGGGAGACCTCCTTTTCTACATAAGAAAATTCTAACTGGGGCTCCATCTTCCTTTTTGCCACAAGCTGCAGTCCACATTTAACCATTATGGAGTTATCCCAACTCATATCAAGTTGAACTCCATTGTGGTCATCTTGACCTTCATAATTTACTATAGGTGAGCTAGGGTTCCATGGTCGTTGGAATTGTTTGTATACGCCTTTGCTTATAGAGTCAACTTTCAGTTTGGCTGGGATGTTCCAGCTTCTTGGACTTAAAAATAAAATCCAGGATTAGAAGCTTTGATTCTTACTTGGGTGGTCTTGATCTGTTATTTGAGGGACCTAGACCTTCCCCTTTGGAGGGATGTACAAGAAGAGAGGTTCCTCACTCCCTAGACTCAGTGTATGGTTGAAGAAGTGGATATGAGGCAACTGTCAGTGCACCAATATACCAAT